GGGGATGCTCCCCCAGCCTAGCCCCCCACACCCAGGGCCCCCACACAGGTAACCTCTGGGACTGGCCCCCCAGCCCGGGGCCCCCGTGTAGTCCCCCCTAGTTCCAGGGACCCCCACAACCCCGCCCCCAAGCCTAGGGCACCCCAGCTGCAGGGCTGCACCCCAGTCCCTGCCGCCTCCCGGGCCCCCGCAGCCGCTCCAGCTCAGCCCCCCGCCTCAGCCCCCACACGGCCCCCCCCTGCGGGGGAGGAGACGGGGGGGGGTCCCGCACACTCCTGCTCTGCACCCCGGCAGTGATGGCGCTGACAGCCCAAGGGGAATGCTCTTTATTGGGCGCGCACGGGCAGGGCTGGGGGAGTCGGGGGCGCGTTAGGACGCCCACTCGGACAGGCTCCGCGTCTCCTGCAGCCACAGCTCGTCGGCCTGGGGGGAGCAGAGGAGCGTTGACTGGGGGAAGGGGGGGCTTGGGCACGGCCCCTACCCCCACCTGGGGCAGAACCCGGGTGTCCGGGCTCCCAGTGCCCCTTGCTGCAACCCCCCAGCCCCCTCCCCGGGGTGGAGGGACCCCAGCCGTCCTGCACCCGTGTCCTCCCCCCGGCACAGGGAAAGCACGCAGGTGTCCGTGGCGGCGCCGAGTAGGCATTTATGCGTGCATGTGCTTGCGTGTGCACGCGTGTCTGCACTGCCCCATGTGTTTGTGAGCATGCCTGTGCATGTGGACATGTCTGCCTGTGTGTGCACGTCTGGGGGTTTGCGGACGAGTGCCGCGGGGGCCATGCAAGCGTATGCAGAGCTGCACACGTGTACGTACATACAGGTGCGCTGCATGTGATGTGATTGACCCCACCGCCGGCCCACCTGCACATTTGTGGGTACATACATGTGCGCCAAGTGTGATCCAACTCCCCCCAGCCCAGCACAGCCCAGCCCAGGCCAGCCCACCTCACCTGACTCAGATCCTGGCTGCTCCCAGCTCCGTCTCTGCTTTGGCCCTGCTCCGGAGTCCCGCTTGCCCTCCTGCTCTGCTTGGGCTCCGGTCCTGCCCCTGCAGCTTCTCCCGCTGCAAGGGCAAGGGCAAAGGTCGGGGATAGAGGGCAGCAGTGACCTCCTCCCTCCCCGCCCGCCCGCCCGCCCCCAACTCCAGGGGAGGCTCAGTCACCCCCAAGGACTGGGGTACAAGGGGCCGAGACCCCTCCCAATCTACCCCATGGGGGGGAGGGAGGGCAGGAAGGGCAGGCCTAGGCCCTTGGGCAACCAGACTCCAGCTGTGGGAGGGCCAAAGAGAGGTTGGGGGGGTCCATGGGGATGCAGCACCCTCCCCAGTCATCCTTACCTGGCTCAGATCTGGGGGTCCCAATGTCCCTGGATGCTTCCTCTTGTAAGGGTGGCTGCCCTGGGGGGGACCCAGCCCATGGGGGCTGTGGGGGGCACCTTGTTAGTATGGGGGCTACCGGTGCCTCCCACCCCATGCTGGGCAGATGGGGGGGTGGCAAGGCTAGGCGGGGCAGCCAGGTGGGGGTTAGATGGGAGGAGTAGATGGACACAGAGGGGTAGATGGGGGAGCAGGTGGCCAGACATACAGGGGGCAGATGGAGCAGGCAGACCGACAAGATGCAGGGGGTAGATGGGGAGGCAGACGGACAGATAGACAGTTGGGAGCAGATGGACGGGCAGATGGGGGTGTAGATGGAGCACAGATGGAGGAGCAGACGGACGGATGGACAGGGGTCCACATACCCCTGGGTCAGTGCAGGAGCTGTGGGGCAGGCGCCGCCTCCGTGTGACACCCGTCAGGGCCCCGCTCAGCGCCGCCACCAGCTCCGGGGTATCTGAGACCTGCAAGTGAAAGACACCCCATCACCGGAGTGGGGATGGGATTCCCCTTGTCCGTCCCCCCCAGCACCCCCATCCCCAGGCTGCCACAGCCTAAAGCCTGAGAGGCTCTAGCCCAGGGAGGCGGGAGGTGGGGGAACTGAGGCACAAGCCCGTCCCTAAGAAGGGGACCCAGGAGTCCAGCTACCTGCCAGCTCTGCAGACAAGCCCTCCGGAAGCGGGCACTGGTGCTGCTGCTCACCACGCTGGACACGGCCTCCAAGACCACAGGCAGGGCCTGGCACAGCTGGCGTTGGCTCTGGGGAGCACTGGGAGTCAGTGGGGGGGCGCTTTACTACAGGCTGGGGCATTAGTGAGAGCCTGTACGCCCACCCAGCACCGTGTCCAGAAGGGAACCCCAGGCTGGGGCGTCCAGGGAGGGGTGGAGAAGAGCACCCCTGCAGCCCAGTCCAGCATACAGCCCCAAGGGAGTGGGGGGGATACTGGGGGTAGAGCACCCCCTGCTGGTCCTGCACCAACAAAGCAGCCCCCCACACCTTCCCAGGGTCCTGGGGGGTGCAGAGAGGCCCAGCCCCTCCCCCCAGACTGAGCCCCATGTGTGCTATGACCCCCCAGCACCCACCCTCTGCCTGTGGGCATCCTCCTCCAGCGTGGCATCCACGACCCCCTGCACGGCCTCCCTCACTGCCCCTGCGCTGCACCCCAGGATCTGCTCCACGTGGGACACGAGCACCTGCCGCGTCCCTGGGCACAGCGTGGTGGGGGAGAAACATGGGGTTCAGGCAGTGAGGGGTTAATTGGGGGGGGGGCCGAGATGATGCGGGTCAGGACCCCGGCTTGGGGGCCACTGGGGTCTCTGCAGCACAGACAGTCCCCGTCTCATAGGGGGGCAGATAGCTGGGGTCTATGCAGCCTCCTTGGAGCAGGATAGAGGGACTGGGGGGGCAGGGGGTGTCACAATTAACGACCCTCGGCTAATTGGGGACACCAGGTGGCCAGGTCGGCCTGCTGGGAGGCAACAGGTATCTGCGCACAGGCCAGGCCAGTCAGGGGCAGGTATGTGCAGGGGTCACGGAGGTACTCACAGACGTTGCGGGAGGGATCGGGGCTGTGGGGGCTCAGGGATGGCGGGGCACTCGCAGGCATCGCAGGGCGGTCTGCGGGGAGTACTCGCGGGAAGTCGGGGGTACTCACGGGCATCGCAGACCGGTGGGTCCTGGAAGGGGTCTGCGTAGCGCAGCAGCAGGAAGAGCAGCAGGGTCTGGGGCTGTGCACCCGGCTCCGCAGCCTCCCCGCTGCCCCGGTGCAGCAGGTAGCAGGCGTCTGGCCTGGCGAGGCCTAGCGGGGATGTGGAGTGACTCCGGAGCAGCCGTTTCCCACTCCACCTCCCCAAGCACGAGGCCCTGGTCTCCCAGATTCGTCCCGTCCCCTGGCTGGGCACCACG